GGGGGTCCAGGGCCCCGGGAATTAAATAATTTAAATAATTTAAATCCGGAGCCCTTCCCCAGGATTTAAATTATTTAAATTATTTAAATCCTGGGGCCCGGGGCCCCCGGGAACCCCCCCGGCCAGGATTTAAATTATTTAAATTATTTAAATTATTTAAATTATTTAAATGGGGCCGGGAATTAAATAATTTAAATAATTTAAATAATTTAAATAATTTAAATCCTGAAGGGGAGGGGTCCCCGGGGGTCCAGGGCCCCGGGAATTAAATAATTTAAATAATTTAAATCCGGAGCCCTTCCCCAGGATTTAAATTATTTAAATTATTTAAATCCTGGGGCCCGGGGCCCCCGGGAACCCCCCGGCCAGGATTTAAATTATTTAAATTCTTTAAATTATTTAAATTATTTAAATGGGGCCGGGAATTAAATAATTTAAATAATTTAAATAATTTAAATAATTTAAATCCTGAAGGGGAGGGGTCCCCGGGGGTCCAGGGCCCCGGGAATTAAATAATTTAAATAATTTAAATCCGGAGCCCTTCCCCAGGATTTAAATTATTTAAATTATTTAAATCCTGGGGCCCGGGGCCCCCGGGAACCCCCCCGGCCAGGATTTAAATTATTTAAATTATTTAAATGGGGCCGGGAATTAAATAATTTAAATAATTTAAATAATTTAAATAAATTAAATCCTGAAGGGGAGGGGTCCCCGGGGGTCCAGGGCCCCGGGAATTAAATAATTTAAATAATTTAAATCCGGAGCCCTTCCCCAGGATTTAAATTATTTAAATCCTGGGGCCCGGGGCCTGCGGGAACCCCCCCGGCCAGGATTTAAATTATTTAAATTATTTAAATGGTGCCGGGAATTAAATAATTTAAATAATTTAAATAATTTAAATAATTTAAATAATTTAAATAATTTAAATCCTGAAGGGGAGGGGCCAGGGCCCCGGGAATTAAATAATTTAAATAATTTAAATCCGGAGCCCTTCCCCAGGATTTAAATTATTTAAATTATTTAAATCCTGGGGCCCGGGGCCCCCGGGAACCCCCCCGGCCAGGATTTAAATTATTTGAATTATTTAAATTATTTAAATGGGGCCGGGAATTAAATAATTTAAATAATTTAAATAATTTAAATAATTTAAATCCTGAAGGGGAGGGGTCCCCGGGGGTCCAGGGCCCCGGGAATTAAATAATTTAAATAATTTAAATCCGGAGCCCTTCCCAGGATTTAAATTATTTAAATTATTTAAATCCTGGGGCCCGGGGCCCCCGGGAACCCCCCCGGCCAGGATTTAAATTATTTAAATTATTTAAATTATTTAAATGGGGCCGGGAATTAAATAATTTAAATAATTTAAATATTTTAAATAATTTAAATCCTGAAGGGGAGGGGTCCCCGGGGGTCCAGGGCCCCGGGAATTAAATAATTTAAATAATTTAAATCCGGAGCCCTTCCCCAGGATTTAAATTATTTAAATTATTTAAATCCTGGGGCCCGGGGCCCCCGGGAACCCCCCCGGCCAGGATTTAAATTATTTAAATTATTTAAATGGGGCCGGGAATTAAATAATTTAAATAATTTTAATATTTTAAATCCTGAAGAGGAGGGGTCCCCGGGGGTCCAGGGCCCCGGGAATTAAATAATTTAAATAATTTAAATCCGGAGCCCTCCCCAGGATTTAAATTATTTAAATTATTTAAATCCTGGGGCCCGGGGCCCCCGGGAACCCCCCCGGCCAGGATTTAAATTATTTAAATTATTTAATTCCCGGCCCTGTCCCCGCCCGGGACCCCCAACCGGGTTTATTTGGAAGATGGCTCTTGTTTATATATAAGGGATTTAGGTCACTGTTTCCCTATCTAGAGTGCAAGCACCAGCTTCCAAATAAACCCGGTTTAAGCCGCACACATAACAAACCCACCCACCCATCCTCCCCCCCAACCACTCCCCCCCCCCGCAATGGTATCCCCCCCCCCAACTAGAAGGGCCTGAAGCCTGGAGGACTCCGGCTACAGGGGCGCCGCACCGCGTATTGTACCCCACTTGGCCTGCCCGCGACGCACCTGCGTAATTTCCACAGTAAGGATAGGGTTTCGAGGCAAAACGGAGTAAAATTATTCTTACTCCGAAGGCCTCCCAGCAGGGCTTCCTGTGAGCAGTAAGCAAAATGTTCTAGGCAACACTCAGCAAGATTACTCGTGTCCCAAAATTTCCACGCAAGGCTAACAAGGGTTCCAGGCAATTAGAATGGATCGGAGGCTTAGCAGGAGAGCATGTGCGGAGAATGCCATACATACACAGACATGTTGTGTGTGTGTGTGTGTGTGTGTGTGTGTGTGTGTGAGTGTGTGTATGTGTCTCAGAGCAAAAGGCAAAACCATCCTGTTCCACAGGAGGGGGGGAGACATAGAATGGCCATACATTCAGAAAGACTGTGTGTGTGTGTGTGTATGGCAAAAGGGAAAACCACCCCGTTCCACGGGGGGCTTCTACTTCCTCCCTGGCCCGCACGCACAGTTGGAAAACCGGAGACGAAGTTCGCATTTCGCAGCAGCAGAATACCGCACGCCAAAGAATGGAACGGAGGCTTCTTAGCAGGAGAGCATGTGCGGAGAATGCCATACGTAGACAGACGCTGTGTGTGTGTGTGTGTGTCTGTGTCCATGTGTGTGTGTGTGTGTGTCTGTCTGTCTGTCTGTCTGTGTGTGTGTGTGTGTGTGTCTGTCTCAGAGCAAAACGGAACACCATCCTTTTCCAAAGGGGGGGGGCAATAGAAAAGGCAAACCATGCCGTTCCACAGGGCCGGGGGGGGGGCGGGGAGAATACACATTGATTACTACACGAGAGTGCCCAACAGGATAGCATGTGAGGGGGAGGGGGAGGGCGCAACCCTCATTATCTGTACTTGGTTATTCCATTTCTTCAGAGGTAGATGTCTGTGTACATGAAATAACCTAGGCATGTAGGTAGGCAGGGAGGTATGTATGTATGCGTGTATGTGCATTCACAGTCACATGTATTGATGCTTGCCATGTATGTTCTATCCATGCATCTACCTAGCTGCCTGTCCCCCTGTCCACCTATCTATCGATTTATCCATCCATCTATTCATTTATCTACCTTTCTGTCTTCATGCCTATCTATCTGTATCTATCTATCTGTCCGTGCGTGTCTGTATATGTCTCTCTGCCTGTTTCTAAGTCTGCCTCTCTGTCCATCTCGCTCAGTGATCTGTCTCTCTGTGTACCTCTCTGCAGATGTAGGCTGTGGCGCTACCCTAGACCCTAAACTAAACCCTAAACCCCATTGCTTGCAGGATGGTCCGGAAGAGACCTTAGTATGCTTGGGGGCCGCTCCTGAGCTTCCAGAGGCGCCTCCGGGACACATGTATTCAAAGGGACAGAAGAATGCGAGAAAAGATGAGCATGCAGGTCTTGTGTATTCATGTATATGGGTTTGTATGTATGTATGTATGTACGGACGTATGCATGCGTGCATGAAGTATGCACATACATACCTACATATAGATGCAGGTACTTGCATACATATGCAGGTAGGCCGGTAGGTAGGTATGTCGCTATGCATGTATGTATGAATGTATGCACATATGTGTGTAGAGGGAGGCACACACACACAAAGTCGAACCAGTGCAAGTCCACATTAGTAAACACGGTGTCCAGGCTTGCGGTTTCTGTCTATACGTATGTGTGCCTGTGTATGTCTCTCTCTCTCTCTCTCTCTCTCTCTCTATATATATATATATATTATTATATCTGTATATACATACACAGACATATTTATGTGTACACCTTCACACACACGCACACAGTTGCCTTTTGATTCATCAGTGCTTTTTGTCGTGGACCCCCAGCCTTTAGCAGACGTCTTGAAGAACGTATCAAGAAGGGTTCCTGGCACCGCACTCGCAGGTCCTCAAAGCTGCAGCTGCCATTCGGGACACCTTGAGGCTGTGCCGGCACCTGGCCTCGCTGTCGGTCTCTCCTCCCTCTCTCTTTTTTTCTCTCGTTCACTTTCTCTTTCCTGAGACGCAAAAAGCAGACACGCAAACCTCCGTGTTTCTGACAATTTTGTAGCTTCGCTGGCTCCATGCCCCGAAGTCCTCCACAGCCTTTGCCAAGCCAGGCTCCAGACCTTGCCAGACCCCTGAAACTCAGTGGAGCTTTTCGTACCTGAATTAGATGCCTATTGTGTATGTAGTACATCACCACATACGTGTCTACACACACAGACATGTAGGCCTGGTGTTGCGTCCAGGTTTCCTATATATTTTCTATGGTTACAACATATCAGGTATGTATGTATGTATGTATGTATGTATGTATGTATACAGATGTATGTATACATATGTATGTATACATATGTATATATACATATGTATATATATATATATATATATATATATATATATATTATATATATATATATATCATATATATATATATATACTGCTGTTTCTGCTGTTTGGGGCGGAGGGTCGATGTGACGCGGCCCTTTGGCTTGCACCTAATTGTGTGAAACAACACTGAACAAGCTACCAGTTGCCCAACATCAGGAATCCCGGTGACTCGCGCATCACAAGGTCTGGGAGACGCTGCAGAGGGAGGGCAGACAGTGGTAGCGGAGACGGAACCACAAGCCGGGAGGGAATGCCACGAATCCAATGGCTCACAGCGGTCCGAATGAGCTCACAAGCGAGCTCAAATCCAGGCAACTGAGAGGTGAAGGATTGGGCAGTCCGTTTGGGTTCATCGGGCTCCGTCAGTGGCAAGCCCAGCACAGACAGACAGTAGAAGCATGCCGGGTCTGGGTACGCCAAGAAATCAATGACCTGCCCTTCCATATATATATATATATATATATATATATATACATATATATACATATATATATATACATATATATATATATACACACACACATGCAACCAGACGCAGTACCTCAAACTCGCTCCCTCTGGCTCGGCAGGCAGAATGAGGCCGAGCTGGGAGCAGAAGCAGGCCCTCGTCACAGCTCTGGGCTTCCGGATTCCCCAAGCAGTTCCTTCAAAAGCCTGTTTAGGCTTTAGGGTTTCTCTTCTGCTCGTGGAGCCTTCCTATTGCTTTCAGAAGTTGTGGAAGCAGATATATCTCTGCGGGTGCCTAAACTGCACTCTGTGCATCTGCGCCCTGAGACAACAAGCACTGGGACTCGGACTGCTCGAACTTTGGGATTGCTATAGCACTAGTAATGCTACTAGCAATATAGTCAGTTATTAAATAATCGCAACAGGTATAATTCTTTAGGGCCCATTTCTTGCAGAGTTCGCCAGAGGCCCGGGCGGCGCGGTGCTTTGCTCTGCCCGGGCCTCGAGTCTTCTTGTGACTTAGTCCTCGGCGCCTGAGAGGTTCCTCATGTTTTTTTCTGAGCCACCGTGGATTCCCTTGCAATGTGGTTTCTTGGTGTGCAATGGACTTAGGTCGTGTCCTCTCATGATGTTACGCGGCATGATGATGGCATGTTTCTCTTGTTGGGGAGTCCATTGACAATACCTGGTACTACATCTTGCTGCCACCTTGGTCCACTCGCTGCAGAATATATACAAGATTGCCGGAGGATCGGGCGGCGACAAGTCCAAAAGCTTTTCTCTAGACTGGGCTCGAGGTTGCCCTTTGCCTCAAGATGCGAGCCCTCCAAGAGCCCTCAAACTTCAGCTTCGGCATGAAGGATAGCCGCGTGGCGCAAGCAATCGAGTGCAGCGCGCTCGGAAGCGGTACCTCACTTCATGCCTCTGCAGTGAAGACGAGAATCATGATGTAGATGGCGATAGTTAGGACAGTTAGGATGACTGTGCCGATGATGCTGAAGGTGGTGATGATGATGGTGTGAATGATGAGACTGAAGAAGAAGATGAGGATAGTGGTGGTGATGATGATGATGATACGGAGAATATTTAGACTGGCGAAGATGGTAATGATCATGGTTTATGGTGGTGGTGATGATGGCGAGGCTGAGAATGATGATGCTGATAAAAATGGCCAGGTGAGAATGATGATAATGATGATGGTAGGATGGTGGTGATGATGATGTGGCTGTTGGTGATGACAACCACGACCTTACGATGAGGGTCATGATGATGATGACGAAGATGCTGCTGCGTTTGCTGCTGATCATGATGTTGGTGCTGATGATGACGGTGACCTACCTTCCTCCACAGCACATGATTTGTCGAGACCGAGAATTGTGACCATTCAAAGGGCTACGCCGAATCCCCAGCCACAAAGGTGCCGTGCTGGATTACGCCGCGCAGCGGTCGGCCGACATGGCCGAGGTTGCGGGCTTTAGCATAGGGCCTACTGTGTAGGACCTGTAGGGATTCGAGAGCATTCCCAACACCCCTTACCTAGCATTCTGTGCATGATACTGCAAGGCGCTGTTCGCATTCTTGGTCTCACTGTTTGTGGAGTGGCTACAATTCCCTGTAGTCCCGGCCCCTCAGTCAAGGCATACTGTTCAAGGGGTTCGTGCTTTCGTGGTCCTTGACCGCTGGCGCAGCCCTTTAGGATCTAGGTCATCCAGGCTTCAGAGCTCTGCTTCATCGAGTTTGATGAAGACTTCAGCTGCAACCCTAAACCCGACCGCTATACCCTCGACCCACACACTGCCCCAACTCCTCAACCCTGGAAGCCCAACCCCCGTGATGTCCGTGAAGCCGTCGGCAGGCCGAGAAGAAGCGGAGAAAAGTTGATGAGGCTGATGGCCTACGCTCGTCAGTCTCCCAATAATCTCCGACGGTTCAGCCTAAACCCTCGACTAGGGTTTAGGGTTTCGGGTGTACTGCACAAATAGCCACACTGGGTCAAACTAAGGCCCACAAGGTGGAGGGAAACCTTCGCCCATGCAGGTGCGGGGTCTCGAGCTTAGGGATTCCTCGAAGCGTGCGTCCGGCTTCGAATCCCCATGCCGCCAGGTTTGAGCACAGTGCCTTGAGTTCAATGTTGCTTGTGCGCCTGCCATGCTGTATGAGGTTAAGTTAACCTATGTTCTGCAAAGCTGTGCCTACAAAGCTGGCAGTTTGGGATGTCACGCTTGAGCATGCATCTTTCCTGCTGGCATGATTGCCGTTTCTTTCTGTGTGTTCGGGCAACCGTCACAGCCGTGGCAGTTCGTGTACTGTGAGGAGGTCTGAGAAGAGTGTAGCACTTTTGGAAGCTTCCCTGCTTTCAGGTGGAGGCTTTCTCTGCGATGGTGGGATGCTCGAGGCAACGGTATTTGCAGCTCCGATGCCGAACCAGGTCGATATGCTCGTAATGGTTGATGGCCGTCAGGGACCTTTACGCCTCAAAAAGTAGCTTCAAGCGACCTCATGGCAGGCATGGCTGGACGAGGCCTCTGCCAACCGCTCCCTGGCGTTCGAACTGCTTCAGCTGCAGGCGGCAAATGAGATATGAGTGCATGCCTGCTAACTGCTCATGCACCGGAAGCTTATCCTAAAGTAGTCTGGACCTCCGGCTTTTCCAGGACAAGGCCATGCGCTGGTATCCCACAGGAGCCCGAAGGCATTGCAGGGAGCCCAGAAGTGTGGATGGTTTCGATCCAACTTGGTGACACTATTCCGGCCCACAGCATCCAAAGATTCCCAGGCGAGTCATTCAGAGGACGGCTCCTGGATTCTTCGAAGACCTCGCAGGACGGCACCCTCCTACCACTCCCGAAACTGAATCTCCCAAAAGCATCAAATTCATAGAGGGCCCAGGGGCTCCAAAAGCGGGGAATACTGTAGCCTCATTGGTAGCGGCTGCAAATCAGCGTTGACAGAGGATGGAGACTGGAGGATGTTGTTGGGCCGGGGGGAGGGGAGGGGGAGACTCCCACGAAGCCAAAGTTGATTGATGTGTCTTGCCAGGATACGAAGCTGTGACGGGCTCAGCGGGTGTGCCGCTAGCCGTACAAGAGGGTAGAGTAGCTGCAGCTGTAGTTGTAGTTGTTGTTGCAGGACGCAAAGGGGGGATGAGCAGCACTAGCAGAACGATTAGAGTGATTAGAAGCAGGAGCAGGACAGCAAGCCTTAAGCTGGAGCCCAGCCTCGATCGGCTCAAGCTCCAGCCAACGCCTGCTGGAGAGAAGTGTTACTTTTGCACGGCCTAAATGTAGATTGCAGCGTGGATAGAGTGTAGGCGGTTATGGGTGTTGTACACCCGGAAACTGAATCACTGAAGCATCAAGCCACCGTGGCCCAAACACCCAAACCAGGAGGAGCACAGAAACAGACAAGAGCGTTACAGCCAGGGCGGGCGACTCTGTCTTTGCAAAGTCATGTGTGGCCGGCTGCAGACGGCCTTTAACGACACGATCTGGCCCGAAAGGGATGATGGCACCATACCTCTGCCGGATGGCTTATTCGCAGGCCAGGCAGAGAAGGAACAGAAACACGCCGATGAGGTAGTCGACTGGGCTCAGATTCCTCGCCAGGATTGGCTCGAGTTTACGAGCGAGCCAGAAACCATCGCCCATACTGATCTGCTGTCATCGGATTGGGTACAAAAGACCGAGGAGTGCAGAGAGCACGACTTGGATCCTGAGGGCGAGGCCGCATTCTACCACCCCTCCTTCCGGTTCAAGCAGCCGGCCTTTGCAGTGCATATTCAGCTGTTGGAGAAGAGGAAAGGCAAACCACAGCAGAAGATTTGGGATGTGATCTACGCTGGCGGGGCGGGGGCTGACAACGAGATCGTCCGCTCTGCCACGCCGAACGGCGGTTCCCACCCACTCTTCCGGCAGTTCTGCCAGCCTTTGTCCGAGGAGACCCGCTATGAGCTGCGTGTGACGGACGTGACCAGGAACAAGAAAGGGAAGCCCAGGAGAAGCTTCGACGAGACCCTGGAGCTTCGGCCGAAGCCGGAGCTTCCGCGCAGCTTCCACCTGAAGAAAGGGATGAAAGTGCCAAAGAAGTTCTCTTTCGACTACTGGGTCCGAAAGGAGAAGAAGGAGCAGGATCGAGAGAAGAAGCTGAACTTCCTGATGCAAGGCCTTGCCTGGAGTCCTCGAAGGCCGCTGAAAGTGGCAAAGGAGAACTTTCCAGATGGCCCCATCGACTTCTCCCCGTGGACGATCGACCCAGAGACTGGTGAGCGGGTGAGCAAGGATCTCGCAGACTTCCTCTGAAACCCCCGAAAAAGGCCGTGAGCTGGGAGACAGGGAGTTGGATGTGTCCGTAGAAGGGCAGCATATGCTGCCTGCCTCGCCGGAATGTGTGTGGGGAGATCATGTCTTCTTAAGGCTGAAGCCGCTGATCACCGAAGAGCTGGCACAGCTCCGTGAGGCTTGGGGCATCTCAATACTCTGCAGCCAGAGCCATGCTGTTCCAACTGCCTTGGAGGGCTGAACTTCGCTCGCGGGTGTTCTAAGCTTATGTGTGCAACTCATCATTTCGCATGGAGCTAGGGCGGCTTGGGGAGCTCGGTCATGACCGGGGGTGTGCTCTGGCTGATAGAGGAGCTCGTAGGAGGCCAGGGCATCGGTACCCGTTGTTTGAGGTTTGGGTGATTTATCCAAACAGCACCCTGCCCCGGAGTCCGAGCTTTTGGGGGCAACCCCCCCTTCAGATTGATGCAAGGCAAAGGGGTCAGGACAGAGTCGTGCTGGACATTTCTCCATCCCTATAATCCAGAACATGATGGATTGCCAGGCTGTGTTCAGCTATCCGGAGGAGGGGGGTGCGCCCCCTCGACTTTTCCGTATCTCGACAGCAGTGGGCCGCTGCAAGGAACAACCGTGTAGTCAGTGTAGTCCGTCGCAGCTGCTTCTCGTCGCAGGTTGTCTGAAGGATCTGTCCTGTTATTGAATGTCGGAGCAGGGTCTTTTGCAAAGCGGAATTACAGGATATTACAGGTTCGGTTGGCCCCCCGAGTCTTTTCCAAACACCCTTCATCGGAAGCCTTGTACGTAGGAAATCTTTCCGGGCAACCAGGTGAAGCTGCAATGACGTCCGACCAGCGACCGGAGGCCGCCACACGCCACACTGCCAGGTGAAATCTGATTCTGTCAGCAAACTAGACCAAAGGCCTTCTTGCGTCGCACAGCGTCATCGCTCTCAGCGTTATCAGACATCTTCTCACAATATCATCCTTCCGTGTAGGTGGACCTCTCTTAGAGTCTTAGGGGAATCGGGATCTGCCAGGCCGACAAGGACATCGTGCTGGTGCCAAAGCCGCACCAGCAGTCACACGAGGTCCCGAAGACTTGCGAAGGGAACAAGAAGAAGCACGAGTAGCAGTAGCAGTAGCAGTAGCAGTAGCAGTAGCCGCAGCAGTAGCATTAGCAGTAGGAGTAGGAGTACGAGTAGGAGGAGGAGGAGGAGGAGGAGGAGTAGGAGTAGGAGTAGGCGTAGGCGTAGGCGTAGGAGTAGGAGTCGCCGACGTCGTCGTAGTTGTAGTCGCAGTAGTCGTAGCAGTCCTAGTCGTAGTCGCAGCAGCAGCAGTAGCAGTAGTTGGTCGCAGTCAGTACGAGCAGCAGGAGCAGCAGGGGCAGCAGCAGGGGCAGCAGCAGCAGTATCAGCTGCTGCCCCTGTATCAGCAGCGGCTGCAGCAGCAGCGGCAGCAGGGAGCAGAAGCAGCAAAAGGAGCAGCAGCAGCACCAGCAGCAGAAGCAGAAGCAGTAGCCGCGGATGCAGCAGCAGCTCTTGTTGGAGACGTAGAAGTAGCAGCACGAGCATGAGTACAGTCTCGGTCGAACCCGAATGCAGGCATTGTATAATTGCTGGTGGCATGCAGATCAACAGCGGACAACTCGCTGGAATGCGAATTTTTTTGAGGGCTGAGGCGTGCGGGGGGAAGCGATCTCCAGCAATGCCCAGACCGCCTCGACTTACTCAGTAAAGTTGACTTACCCAGAACCTTGTACCAAACTGCAAGAGTCAAATGCTGATTTAGGAGCCAGTACGTCCATTGATCAGACAACTCAGCTAAGCATTGAACTATGGGCGTTGCAAGCATAGATCCCGTCAGGTGATTTCGTGCACCCGGCACTATTCCGGTTTCGGCCTGCGCGCACACTTGGATCGGAAGCGGCATTTCTTGCATGCGCTTGCATGTGGGCTGCAGCATGACTCTGAGAGCCGTCTGTTGTGATCCGGAATCGGGCCTCATCGAATCTTCTGCCAGGCTGGAGTGAGCCGCCCCAAAGAGGGACGGGAAGCGTTCGCTGCCCTTCGCCGTGAATGCGCTTTTGAAGTTCCTGATCAGCCGGCACGGACAGTACAGTATCCGACTGCTGTCGCTGAAAGGGGAATCGCCGCCCGGCTGTCTAAATCGGGAGGAACCAGCAGTGATAATGCTGAATGATGCTGAATGCGTATGCTTGTATTGTACGAAGATTGTTACTACTGCTACTACTGCTGCTGCTACAACTACAGCAACAATAACAAACTACTACTACTACTACTACTACTACTACTACTACTACTACTACTACTACTACTACTACTACTACTACTACTACTACTACTACTACTACTACGACTACTACCACTACTACCACTACTACCACTACTACCACTACTACCACTACTACTACTACTACTACTACTACTACTACTACTACTACTACTACTACTACTACTACTACTACTGCAACTACTGCAACTACTGCAACTACTGCAACTACTGCAACTACTGCAACTACTGCAACTACTGCAACTACTGCAACAACTACTACTACTACTACTACTACTACTACTACTACTACTACTTCTACTTCTACTTCTACGTCTACTTCCACTGCCATTACCACTACTACTAGTACTGCTGCTGGTACTACCACTACTGCCTTTCCACCACAACCACTGCAACGGCTGAACGCCTCGTTAACAGACGAATTACTACCCAACACCCATCGCAGTTGGCGGAAGCGGAGCAGAGAATAGCCGCGTCAGACGAGGCCATCAAGAAGGCGGGGCTCAAAATTTTGAAAAGCGGCTTGCTTCGGGTTCCCACCACCGAAATGAATTCTAATTTGGATCAAGCCCTACATTCATCGCACGTGGCCGATGAAACTCGCGGCTCACAACCCCCCCAGCCCGGAGAAACTGAACTCTCAATCCAACATTTTCATGTACGTTGCGAGGTCGAAGAGGCAGCCAAGCCCATGCACCTCCAGGCTTGCGGGCTTCCTTGCGCAGTTGCTCTACGGATTGTACATTTCTGGAACCTTCAGTGTAGTTGTGATTGTGATGATCCTCACGATGAGTGCTTTTCGAAGAGTTTTCTTGTTTGCATGGCTAACGCTCTGCTTAGCTAGATGATTAATTACAGCGGTAACTGTTTAAGTCTGGTCTTTGTCCTTGTTTCCTGATCGTTTTCCGACCATCGTCTCGCAGGGCAAGGAGATGAAATCTGCGGAGATGTTCACCTTAGTGGATGACCTCGAGCAGCAGATCAAGGCCAGTATACATACGACGAGTAGAGCATGCGTAACATGTATAGTGTATAGATGACCGTCGCAACTGCAGGAGCAGCAGTCGAACAAGTTTGGTGAGCACAAAGATCAGCAGCACCATCAGCAGTGCGGTATTATTGCCTGGCTATGAGACACACTAGAATCCATCGCTTCTGCCGCCGTTCCTTCTGCTGCCGTGGCTAGAGCAGCTTTCCCTACTGTCTAGAGCCCTCAGTCCAGGAAGGAAGATGCCCAGAGATCCCAATATACCCTTTAATTGAGGAATATAACTTAAATCATAATATTACGCCCCTTACTTTTTTCTACCCTAAACCCTAAGCCTCTAATCCCTAAACCCTAAACTTTAACAGTATATTCCTCATAATTAAGGGGTGTTGGGTTCTCTGGGTGAAGGGACTCTCGGACCCTGCAGGAGACCAGAACGCCCTTCGAGGAGCTCAAGGCAGACATTGCCGGCTGCAAGGAGGCCTCCGCTTTCTTCATGAAAGCCACGAAAACACAACTGGAACAACAAGTGCACATACATATATATATATATATATATATATATATATATACACGCATACATATATACATACATATATATATATATGTATGTATATGTAGCCATCGTCCGTGCCTATGTACAGCTATTACTAGCTATGATAAAGGACTGGACTTGTCGTTTTCCAGCTGCATGGAAACTCTTCGATGACCGAATCATGCTACAGGTTTGTGGCAAAACAGTTGGCTGGCTCGGCTCGAAGCCTTGAAGGGGCTTCTATCTATGATAAAGATAGCAAGTTGGTTTGTGTCGTTCGATCGTATTGTGTTACCCCTTTCAGCACATGCACGTGCTTATACTGTAAGGCAAGGATGTTGAGCCAGCCTAAAGCTCCTGGCTTTCGATTTCAACAGTTGTGTTAAGGCGAAAGTCATGGGGCTCTGTCGAATTGGGGAAGCCGTAGCTTCTTGGGCATTATCCTGATGGTTCCTAGACATATTCCGGATGCCGAGATGGCAGCGTCCCACACTGCATACTGCACACTTACTGAGCCCGATTTGGCTCTGGAGATACTAGGAGGGATTGAAATATCTAAAGCCATGCCCCGCGGATCAGGGCGCGGCGGAGGAGATTGTCCTCTGGCTCAACAACCAGGCAAGGGTGACAGTGAAGGGTCTACGTGGTTGAAGGCTTCAGGTATTTTGCGGGCTGGCAGCACTAGCAGGTTTCCCTGTATTCCGGACCACTTTAGCCCATCTCTGCAAGCTTCCAGGTGAAGCTGCTTGAGCTGAAATTTGCGAAGCTTGAACCTCGACTGGGACTCCTTGGCTCCAGCTGCCTCAGGTCTGGTGCTCTTGCACTTGGGCTCGGGGGTGCTGGAGAAGTTAGCATGGTGTTACCGGCGGTTTGGGGTGTTGGCCTTTGAGGTTGGCCCTGTCAGACTCCTGCAAGCCTGAGGTGTTTCAGTACATGGGCATTCTGCCGCAAAGCTAGTTTGTTTCATCCCCCTCCAGCTTGCAAGTCTGCTCCCCACTGCTACTACTCCTCAGGTCCTAGACCATAAAGCCTAAGTCCCCAAACAACATACACCTTAAAGAATGTGGTGTCTTGCAGATGGTAAGCTTTGAGCGTCGGAAACTCGAGCAGACTCTGGCAAGCTCCTTTACATCGGCAACGCCGTACAAAAGCCCTCGTGCACGCAAGATCTTTTTGTCTGCCATCGAATATTTGGCAACGCCAACATGAAAGGCTGTCATCCGGCTTGAGTCGTTACTGGCAAGGTTGAATCTAAAGAAGTCTCTCATCATGAGCACGAGAAAGAAAGGATTGGATTCAAGTTTTCTCCATCTGGTGCCCTGCTCGCTGGGGCCCTTTCCGCAGGTTTCGCGAGACTGCGAAGAGCAGGGAGAGGTCGGAGCTGAAGGCCGTCGAGTCCAAGGCCAAGGACATGCTCAGGTGCCTTCCCTTCAGGGAGGGGGAAACTCCCGAAGCCCGGGGGTGGGGGATGGTGGGGGATTCGGCGGGGTTTGCTTCGTCTTCGTAGCTGTGAGGGAGGACTTTGCATGACGATTTGTCAGGGATCGTAGATGGGTCAGGGTGTTTTGGACAGAACTATCATGCTCTTCGTGATGGTCGCAGAAGCATCGTAGTGACGATGATATCACAACGTAGAATGTCGGTGACGTTTGCACAAGGACCTCTGTGCGCAGACTCTACTGGCTTCAAAACTCTGTAGGAGCCGTTTCGGACTTAGCTGGAAGACCTGCCCTATATGCCACCTCCATATCATCCACAGCTGCCTCTGCCCCCTGCAAACCTTGCACTCCTGGCATCTCGTAGCAAAGGATCTGCAACCCGATGTCGGCGCCAGGTATCACCAGAAGGCCAAGGACATGACAGCCGATCAGCTCGCCGAGGCAATCGAGGGAGACGGCGACACCCTCAGCGAGGCCGCGCTGTGCCAATTTGGGCTTCGGGATCCTGCAATCATTGGATGGAACTCCCCAAACCAATGCTAACTAGACAGAGCATGAGGTTTCCCATCAAATCCCATACCTTCCTTCAGCCCCACGGCCCCACAGTTCAGCCTGGAAGCTGTTGGAAGGACGCCTTCCTGAACTTCTTCCAGACCTGCGAGCAGGAGTCCAAGGGCGACTTGCTCGGGTTAGGCTTTTGGGCGGCATGTGAGGGTATGGGGGTGTGGGATACCGAACCTCAACGTCTGAGAAGCCCTTCCAGTTCTCCGACCGTGGAAGGAGCCTGTGGAGGGGGCAGAAAATGGGCACGTCGACCACTCAGCTATGCATTGCGCAGCATGTCGTATCTACGGCCGAGTCTTGTGACGCGTTGTGCTCATAGGTGTGATGGGATAGCCTCGTCGTAGCAGCGAGGAATATCTCCAGGTTCCTTATCTCCCACGGCTTGGTTGCGATGTCGTGTCCAAGCGTGGCTGTCTGCTTCAACACCCCTTGTGATATTCTTGTATCTTTCCGATCATGTAGTCTCATGCTCCAACCGTAATCGTGAGTGAAAACGAGCTGATAGGATCCTAAGCTTTAAAACCCAAAACCGTATTCTTGAACGCGGGCTTTCCTCAGGCAGCAGCCCTGAACGACGAGGAGCTGCGAAGGCCCTGAGGGATCCCGGCAAGAGTAGTAGTAGAAAGTTGAACTTGCCGCCGCCCTTGTCGCGGAACAGCAAGGAGTAGAGGGACCATAGCTTAACCATGATCCTTAGCTTCCCCCAAAGGGGCGTCAGGCCTGACAGCCAGGAAACTGTTCTCGCAGAAACCCCGGCCAAGCGTGTGCGAAACAAGAGCGGCAAGCCAAAGCTCACCCCTCAGACCCCCCCACCCTCCAAGAGACCCGGAGCCCACCAGAGAAGAAGGAAAGAAAACATGAGCATCGAGACAGGGGAGCGAGCCACAAGAGCATCCAGCAGGCCCCCCCACACACTTGGGTACACAAACCCTAGACCACATCACGGCCATGTCGACTCGCCCACATGCGGTCAACAGTGGTGGCCATGTGTGTCAAAACATGTTTATTGCTGCCAGCGCCCCGAGTGATCCACCCGAGTCGCTTGGCAAACGGATTAGAAGGAACAGCCCCACACGAGCTATTCTGAGGGCATTGCCACATGCTTCGGGATCCAGAAACCCTCTGGGCATTGGCAGAAGGGGCAGCTTCCGTCCTCACCAGTCTTACCAGCACGAAGCAAAAAGGCTGGGGAGACTGCTGAGCCCAAGATCACAGCACGGTGTGCCGGACTTAAACTAAGCGCCAAGCGAGTTTTCGGAATATCCACATTCAAGAAAGCTCGCCGAAGCTGAGGCCTTGTCCAAGCCTGCCGAATCTCAATCGCCTCATGCCTTTTAGAGTCGAGGTACCGACCGAAGGCCTCACGCCGGAATTGCATCCGCAATGCGTGTGCTTGCTGCTCCTTGGTTTGCCTAGAAACCTGTCTGAGATCCAAACTACGCTCTGCAGCTGGAACCTCCCGCGTCCACGGCCTTGGCACTTCCCACTGCCACGGGCCGGTCTCGACCCAATTCTGTTCCTTAAGCTGGCGGCGCACAAGACCCAAAGTGGAAAAGGGCCGGTTATGCCAAACTCTCTCGTACCCATGCTGCACAGCCCTACGAAGGCGGTTCCAGGTACGGGAAAGAACTACCATACCCAAATGCGCAGTAGCCCCATAAAAGAGCTTTCTTAAGTCACGCGACGCAAGTTTCCCAGACCTGAAGCTCACAGTCAGCGAACCGAAGAGCTTTTCACTGGTAGTTTGAGTCGGGAATCTCCCAACCCATCCATAAGAAGCAACGCTGAGAACGAAGGCACGATGTGCCAGGAGCAAACGCTCCCAAGACAAGCTAGCACCCGCTAGCAAAGCCGATCTGGCGTAGGCCACTTCCAGGGGATCCCGGCAAGAGTAGTAGTAGTAGTAGAAAGTTGAACTTGCCGCCGCCCTTGTCGCGGAACAGCAAGGAGTAGAGGGACCATAGCTTAACCATGATCCTTAGCTTCCCCCAAAGGGGCGTCAGGCCTGACAGCCAGGAAACTGTACTCGCAGAAATCCCGGCCAAGCGTGAGCGAAACAAAAGCAGGCAAGCCAAAACTCACCCCTCAGACCCCCCCACCCTCCAAAAGACCGAGGAGAAGGAGAGAAAACATGAGCATCGAGACAGGGGGAGCGAGCCACGAGAGCATCAAGCAAGCCCCCCCGCACACTTGGGTACACAAACCCTAGACCTCATCACGGCCATGTCGACTCGCCCACATGCGGTCAACAGTGGTGGCCATGTGTGTCAAAACATGTTTATTGTTGCCAGCGCCCCGAGTGATCCACCCGAGTCGCTTGGCAAACGGATTAGAAGGAACAGCCCCACACGAGCTATTCTGAGGGCATTGCCACATGCTTCGGGATCCCGGCAAGAGCAGACAGACAGGCAAGCAGAGACAGACGGACGGGCAGACAGACATAAAGATAGACAGATAGATAGCTAGATAAATAGATAGGAAGGAGGTCGATGGACAAATCAGATGGGTGGATGGACCGACGGATGGATGGATGCATGAATGGATGCATATTATCAGCCAGACATTCAAAGATCTACATATTGATGGGTTATGACGGACATAGTAATGGAGACAGAGATGGGCAACGCGGCAGCAAGCAAGCAAACGTACGTCCACACAGACATGCATTACCACAGACACAAAGAGTGTGCGTATGTAGCATGCATCCATGCCTGCATGTGTATGTATGTACGTGCATGCATGCATGCATGCATGCATGCATGCACACGCATGTAATTTGTGTGTGTGTGTGTATATATATATATATATATATATATATATATATATTATACATACATACATACATACATACATACATGCTTATACGCACACAACATCGGCAGCCCTCCTTTTCCAGGCTTTACAAGCACTGGGCCGAAGAGTCAGATGGCATGGCCAGCCCGGCCTGGCTGCAGTTGCTAGGGTTTGGGATGTTAGGTCCCACGGTTTCGGCGTTAGGTTTTGGGGTTTAGGGGTTTGGGGTTTCAGGATGTCGCCGAATGGCGTAGACAAGAAGTCTGACCCTTAGTTAATTCCCGGCAGCAAGGAGACCCGGATGCAAAAAGGATGTCGCCTTTGGGGTGTAGGGTGTCAAAGCTGGTCTAGGAAGCATTAATTAATCATCATGAATTCACATGCAACCCACCCCTAAATATCAAAGACTTCCGAGGCCTCTACGTTTGCTTGTTTTCCTGGCCCGCTTGGACCTGGAAGCTTCCTTGAAGACTTCAGCCCAAGCCCTGGAACCTCAAACCCAAAACTTCTCGACCCAGACCCGAGCCACCAAATCAAGAACACCAAGGCCCCAATGCCAGCCAGCAGACGAGTCCGTTGAACTTAGGAGCTTCGTAGCCCAGCGGATGCAGCAGTGACGCCGACGAATGCAGTTGCAGTGATCAATCATACGACAACATCAGCATCGTTGCTGTCGTCATCCTCATCCCCATCACAGTCCTCCTGGTCTTCGGCGGCAACGATCACCCCACAGCTAGCAGGGCCAACCATCAAGATCAAGTGACACCAATAACTGCATGCGTAGGAGGTATTGAACCGGAACCCGCAACCCTCAGTCTTTGTGAGGAAAACCTCTAGGGTGAAAGACCCTCCCGCCAGGTCCAAAAAGAGACTCTCGTCAGCCGAGTGCGGAAATACATGAAGGCCGCAAACATGGGATTCAATCATGTCACCCCAGTACCTGCAACCCAGCTGTTGCTCAGCACTGCAGGTGATGAAGACCGCCGCGCTTACAGACCATAAAGGCATCAAGGACTGCTAGTGCATGGGACATTCGCGTGTTTTCAATCGGAGTGTACTAGAGAGGTTCCGCCGTGCTGAGCCTTGTGCTGCAGCAGTTGTTTCAGGGATGCTACTCAGTGACCGTTCGCCTGCATGCTGTCTAGCATGGTGCTATCGACGCCAAGAAGCGATCCCTTCCATCCGTCGCCACTCTTTCCGAGCTTGGAGGAAAGCAAGTCCATCCGTCGTCTACTCGAAGGGGAGGCCCCTGGTCACCGGGAGCCTTGGACATTGGAGCCTCCGGGAACCTTACGCCGTGCTTTGCCAAATTTGTGTAGGGCCCCGTGCACCCTTGCGGCGTGGGAGGTGGTCGAAGCGCTCGGCACCCCGCAGAAGGAGGACGAGGTGCACATCAGGGTAGGGCTCAAGGCTTTCTCTCTGAGCTCTGCGAAGCATCAAGCTGCATTTTCCCGGTAGGCTTGCTGTCCGCCAAAGCTTGACTGAATTACCTAAACCCCGAACTTGGACCCTTCGGTCCCTGAGAACTCGAAGGTGGACCTCATGCGACTCAGGGTAAAGGCCGGGTGTGCGAAAGACGGTCATTCGGATTGCTCTCGGCTTCTACTTATTCATGTAGAGCCTGTAGAGCTATAGCTGTAAACATCAATTGCTGCTGTTTGCCGCAACTATTGTAGACCTCTTGGAGCCTTGGACTCTGTGCGCTAGGCCATGAACGACAGCGCCGAGGGTTGGGTCACGATTTCGGGCAACCAGGCACGACATGCGTGCAAACGGATCCGATGTTTTTGAGTTAAAGACCTGTCAATCGGGTGCCTTGGCAGGGCACAATCTTCCTGAAGGAAGGTGGCCACATGTTCAAGGCCCGGCCCCAAAGTTTGGGGGGCTGTTGGGGGGAGAACTTGCGCAAGTGCCTGAACTGAAGCCTTGACCATCATGGGCTGGCTGTGATCATGCCTCGCATCTGCGAGGGCAGAGCAGGACAGGATGTGCTGTTGCTGGTTGTGACCATGCCTTCTCTGCCGCACGTAGCGAAGTTGGGAGTTTGATCTGACCAAGCCGTTTTTGCTGCGAAGTGGAGTGACCATAGTGACTTTCTTGGTATTTGCAGAGAACTTGAGATGAGCTTGGTGGTGGTACGGAGCGAACAGTGCAAACAAAGCAAACATGCGTTGGAGCGAACCTCCCAACTAGGCTTTGTTTGGGTGCACAGGCACTGCAAAGGCAATGTTGGCATGGTAGAGCTCTCTCTTCGCCGAAGATGCGATCTCTTAAATGTGGTGGTCGCCTTGGGTAGCCCGCAGCCCGCCGGCTCTGCCGGGAGTTTGGCGCTGAAGCATGGCCGACCGCAAGAAAGCGCGGCAGGCGGTTCGCGAGAGGCGGTGCGGACATGCGAAGGGTTGAGAGCCTCACCATGTTTTTTGCTGGAGTTTTTTCTGTGACAGCCTGCTGCCAGAACACTTCAGCCAGTCAGCACTTTTCAACATGATTCTGCATCAAGGAGCTTTGCGTGGCAACGACATCTGAACTAGAGCGAGCCTGAACCCGGAATCCCCACACAGCATCCCAGCCCCCAACAACCGAACTCCCATAAACACCCCCAATCCCAAACCCTAAGCCTTGAACTCCCCCTTTCTCTCCACTAACCCGGACCCGGAAGCGGGAGTCTTTCGCGAGGCTGAGGGCCAACCATCAGGGCACCCTGCAGGGTCGACCCCAGGCCCGCACCAGAGTGCCTGCAGAAATGGGGCTGGCTGTGGAGAGGGTTCAGCTTCTGTTTTTGGATGGTTCGGGGTTTTGGGGTTCAGGGTTTCGGTAGAGTTCAGGGGCTTTGAGGGGTTGAGGGACTTAGGTGTGCACAGTCCCTGACTTCAATGCCAGGGCCGGAAGGACTCCGCGGCGAGTTCAGTGCGGACCTGAGCTCGGAGTGCAGGAACCAGGGCTCGTGGGCGGTTTAGTGTTTTTGTTGACGTGGATTCTGGTGCTGCGTGGGCCAAGGGTGTGGAAGGGTTTGGTGTAGAAGCCCGGACTTGACGTGCTGTTGTCGCACAACTTGAGGTGCAGCCTTTGACCAAGGACGAGGTGTGGGCCAGCGACATCTTTTTGGGAGACTGGTGTTGGATGGATCAAGACCTCGCAGTATACCTTTGCACACAGATTGCTGTCGGGTGTGTAACAAACCCCCCGTCCACGCCACATCCAAAGGCCTGAACCTTGCACGCGAAGACTCCGAATCTCTGAATAGATCCCTGAACCCCGAAATATCCTGGAGCCGAAACTCAAGCCCCCACCCACCCCCCCATGGCGCAGGCTGAGCTCGCAAAGCTGCGGCAGGTCAGAGGAGAGCTGGAGGCCGTCCCCAAAAGCCCTGAGCCTCAGCCCTAAAAGCACCTCCTTTGCGAAGTTTGGGTCTCTTGACCTTGCCAGAGAGCCTGTTGGTTGGGGATTCAGTCCGTCGCGAGAATGTTTCATTTGAGGTCCTTGGCCGTCCTTTCTGTCAGGCACAAGGTGCTCTGAAGAAGCTGTCTGACGATGAGCTGGTTGCTCTCGACACCGCTTGGCCCTTGGCTTAGGCTCAAGCCCTCAGCTCAAGGGCAGAGCGGAGAAAGACATCGTCATCGCTGGAGCTTGCAATTCGGCAGCGGGTCGGAATTAGTCAGGTGTCCTAATCTTGAAACCTCGAGTCCCGAATCTGACTCCAGACTCAGACAGCATCCCCCCACCAAACGGGTTTCCGAGCGCCTGGGGCTCAGGCTCTAAGTAGAAGAGCTCGCCTCCACGAGTGGCCCTCCGACGAACTTCGCAGGCGCCGCGCCCGGAGGACGAGAAGCTGGCGGTTCAGCTCCTTACCCGCACGCCCGAGGCCACTGTAGCTTATGGGTAGAGTCTAAGCTTTGGGGCGTCAGCATGTTTCCGTGCAGGAGTTTTGCTGTTGCTGTCGAATACAGATCTTGTGGATTTCTGCCTTCCGGTCTCCGACTCTCCGACTTTTCAGCAGAGCTTTCACTCCGGCCACAGGGATCAGAGACTACGCCTGCAGTGCCGGCGGCGCTAGGCCAGAGCCTGGGGTGTTTGTGCAGTAGGAACGCTGGGACTCGTATTGATCGTTGCTGCAGAAGGCCCTGACATTGTTTATGAGCTCCTTCGCGCCTCGTCAATCTCGCATCTGCAAGCTGGCTTTTTGCCGAATCGAAACGTAAACCCAAGGCCAACAGCCATAAGCGCTCAGAGCTTTCAGCCCTTGATCCCCTCAAGTATGAAACCCTTAGACCTGTAGGCCTACAGGACCGTAGCAAGCAGAACCCTGGACGGACAAACAGACAGAAGGCAAGATCCTAAACATGAGGCCCCGAACAGGTTAAACTTGAGTCCTGACAAGGCTACCAGGCAGCCAGTCTCCCGCCTGGTGTGGCTGCAGGACGGATGGCTCAAATACAGAAAAGCAGGGATGCAAACATGACGAATGGTTCGGAGCTGCAGACTGCGTGATACAACATGTCGATTTGCAGCAACATGTTACATGGAGATCTCGCCCTTGTTGGCGGTTTTCTGATGTTTGGCATTCAGAAGCCTGAACGACGTCCTTGAGGACTGGTCCCAATGCTAACAACGGAGGCCGGGAGCTCGGGCACAACTTGCATACTGAGGGAAGATTACACTGGATGAACAGTAGCGGTGGCAACGGCCGCCAAAGAGTTCTTGCCTTGTCACAGCTTGCAAGACTGCAACGTCATAAAGTCAACAGCCAGACAGGCACCCCACACGCCATCCGGTGCGTACTCCGTGGTTCCTTGGCAGCTGCAGGCCTGCAAGACGCTCCGAGACTTGCTGTGGCAAGGGCGACCGAAGCGCAGAGCACCCGACCTCTCTCTCTCTCCCTCTCTGGTCCCTCTCTAATCTTTGTTTGACATTCCACCGCTGTGATTTGAAGGTGCAGAATGCCATGGCTGCACCTCCCGCCCAGTACAGCAACTTGGCTCAGTGCTCCAAGTGTGCGCGATCGTAATCATAGGCGCTTTTTCGCATCATATCGGATTAACGTCCACGACTTCTTTGTTGCCTTTGTCGTTCACACTGGCTACTCTAGAATGCTCACACCCCGCAGACGCCTTGTTCAGGTTTCGGGAAACGCGAACATGGAAGGCGGAAGTATCAGCAACAGTGTGTCCGTTTATTCCCTGTATATACCCTACAAGGACCCTGCAGCACGGGCCGCTCTGCCACGAGCACCACTGCAGTGCCTTACAAACCATCATGTCATGCACAGCATGCGCACCTGTGCACCAGCATCATGTGCATCATTCCGGAGTGTTCTGGCGGGATCCCTCGAGGATATGCAAGGGCTGAGCCCAGCGGGTCAGCATCATGCGCATCATCTCCAAGTACGTGTTCACGTAGCTTCCAGGAGGCTTCAAAAGCACGACGCCTGACAGCCGACACAAGTTTCGACGCCATAATCATGCTTTCCAGAGGTGGGTCCCGCTTGGTAAAGCTTGAGCACCCTCCTTCGTAGTTCGCATTGCCTGGAACCCAATCCAGAAGCATCCGGTTTAAAGAACTACAACACCCTTGTCTGACTGTCCAGACCCGCATATCACACTAGCCCGAAGGTGATATCCTCAAAGAGGTTACCGGCACCAAGGGCCCGCAAGTGCCTGTGGCACCCATCTCCCTCAGCACCTTGGCCAAGATTTGACCGTGTAAAAAGGGTTTGAGGTTTGGGGGTTTTCCAAATACGTCATTTTGGTAAGGACCACCCGTGGGAACCAGGTAATCACATGTAATGGCAGTCTACCAAACTGCAGCAGACCAGACAGCAGACCTCGAGGCTAATGGCCCACTTCTCAACTATCTGTGTCCTCGATCGGTGCCACTTGACCTCAAGACCCCTACAGCTTGTCAAACCCGTACTCTGTGAACCGGGTATAATCCCAACTCACCTGCTACTGCATGGGCTCTGCTGGCTCCCAACCCGGAAATCACCGGAAGACCAAGGTTACGAGTCCGTCCTGTCCCAGACAGTGGGCCCGGCAGCGCTCGACCTGGACGCGCAGTGCTCCATCACGGCCCGCCGGGGAGCAGGGATTTGGCCAGGGCCGGCTAGGGTTGAGTTTATATTTATATGGTTCACCCCGCCATACCTGCTTTACTGTGTCGAAGACCCAAGCCTTAAGCAGGCTTGCTGATCATGGCTATGTAGAGAACACACCAAGCCATGGGCGTGCCAGGAATTCGGCCGAGAGATCGCAGAAGCTCGGAATATGTACTCGAATCAAGTGACCCAGGCCTGCAGAAGGGGATTTGGGCTTTGGATTTTCGGGGGTAGGAAGACTTGCTGACCCGCAGCATGCTGAAAATCTATGTAAGCTGGCGTAAACATGGATACCTGTTTGGCCCCATGCAATCCGACAGGGTCCAGCATTGTTCGGCAGTCGTCGTGTACTCCTGGCTGTTAGCTAACCTTGCAGAAGCTCCAACATCGCACACGGCCCCAACCTTTAAACCAACGGGCAATTTGCTAATGCCGGGAAAATCCGTAGCATCCCTACAGAGTTCCTAAAGCCCTGACTCTCCAACCCCCCCCCCCCAACCGCTCAAAGTCCCATGGCAGGTCGAGTTGCCACCAGGACGGCCGGACTACGGCCGACAAATCGCGAAGCTGGAGCTTCCACCGGGCAACGTCTGGGGCTGGCGAGCCTGGCTTGGCTTGGCGATTTCGCGCAAGCATATATAGGTGCAAGAAGAGACCTTCTTCAGTGATTGATCTCTACAAGAGTAACATCCACACTATGACGAGAATGACGAGGAAGATGACGATCTCGGCAACTGCAGCAATAGTGCGAATAGCAAGTATTTTTACCAAGACCTTTGCTGCTGCTACGACCACTAGCACAGGCACACGACGGCTAAGTAGCAGCACCAGCAGGAGGTATAGTGCGAAAGCGGCACTTATTTCCGTAGATGAGTCGGAATCGAACAAACATCCACTATCGAACAAAATCAACTGCAGACGGTGTTGTTCTCGCCATGCAATCAACATAACTTGGTAAACGAGAACGGACTAAGCAGCAGCAACACGACGGTGCCAACCAATGCTGATCGAACTCATCGACCCACCGGTACAGTAAGTATATGCAGGGCAAGAACATTGAACCAGCAAGATCGGAACGAGATTCCTCGTCATGCACAGTGGATAAACACGACATTTGAAATGAATTCATTAATAGTGCCCCTGCACCAAAAACCCTGACACCCTGTGCGTGGCAGGCAAGCGCAGATGCAAGCAAAGCAGCGGCTGGATGCACCGCCGCTGCAGCGTAAGCTCGATTTGGGTTTCACTATTGTCAGCCCCAGCTTCTGTCCGATGGCTGCATGTTACGCAACGCCGCGATGGGTTTCGTATCGTGGTTAGGACTCTGTGGGATTCAGGGCACGCTCTGCCTGAACCTCTGCAAACCCAGCATCTCTATGAGCCGATCGTCCGAGGCCGCAATGCAGACCAACGTTAACATCCGGGAGGCCTGGAGAGGGACCAGGCGTTGCTTGTGAACAGTGTCGGCCATTTCCAGCTTTGAACTCGTCGGTAACACTGCACTGCGCAAGTGGACTAAGCTAAGTTTTCTCTCAGGGCTTGTCTCCTCTCAAGGGCAGCTGTGCTTGATTGAACGCATGGGGACCTCAGTTGCCGTGAGTTTCCCGATTTGAAATGGAGGAGTTCTAGCGAAATGTTGGACTGAAGCATGTGGGCTCGAGCCTCTTGCGCCACTCTCTTCTCTCCCAAGTGGCGATGATTGCAGCGGACGAGTCTGCAGCATGGCTTATGTCGGATGAAAACCGAAAGTCAAGTCAAGAGGCCGCGATGGGTTGGAGTATGTGATCTCCTGGGCTTCACGACCTTGAGGTACAGGATCTCCGTGCATTTTCGGGGGTTAGGACTTTAGGGAACACAGCTGATTGTGGAGTTCACCGAACTTCCGCAGCTCTACCGGAAGATATACGCTTCGTTGGGACAATCTCTTGCCGCAGTAGAAGCTTCTGTACTTCCGTCTCAGTTGCACAAACTCGCCTTGCAACCACTTTGTCACAAGCGACTAAGGGCCTTTTGAGGTGCATGGGGTCAGACTGTCAGCCGCTCCACTCTAACGGTGTCGCATCTGGGAGTAAATCCCGGATCTGCAACCAACAACGACCAGCTCTCAAAGGCTCTCAACTGCAACAACCAACAGCCCAACAACCACCAACAGCAGCAACAGCAAACCACTGCAACAGCAAGCACAAGCAAAGCAACAGCGACAACGACAGCGACGCCGACTTCAGCAGGAACCACAGCAACGGCACGAACCTCCAAGCTTAATTACATAACCGACAACCTGCCTTTCAACCCTGCAGCTCGGCCCTGACTCCCAAACTCGAAACCTGTAGAGACGCCCGAAGGGGGGAAAGGAAAAGAGCAAGACCTGCTTTTCGTGAGGTCGCGGCCGTTCAGTATCCCGAGTATTCAGAGGCTTGTGCTCCGTACCCGCATCTCCTCGGAAGGGTAGCACCGCTGGAGCCCCAGGGCCCGATGGGCTGTTGAGGGTTTGGAGGTGCTTTCCGAAAAGGGGCTAAAAGGGTTTCAAGATGCAGCTTCGAAGTCTCTTGAAGAATTTGGGTCGTGGGCTGTGTGGTTCGGTTGCCGCCTGACGGCAGCATGAGGCTTGGGCCAGGCAGGCCACCTGTGCAGAACCGGGTTGGTTTTGCGGGGTGGCGTCTGTCACTGTGTGTGACAAATCAAGTATCGTGCTAGCGGGAAGTTCATTTTCAAGATTGCTCCGCCTCCTTTATTCACCGACGTTTCCACGCGCCCCCCTTCCTACACCCACGCCCTTGAAGGCCCCAAAATTTACATTGCAAAGCCTCATCCCAGGATGGATAATGTTTGGCAGCCGCCTACCTGCCAGCCTGCGTGCCAGCCCATCATCTCTGTGTACCTGGGCATCACGAATTTCTTGAGACACCCTCCCCCTGCTGGTTGCATCCGGTTTAGCCTATCGAGTGCCTGTCGAGCCACTTCAATCACTGTCGTCCAGTTTCTAGGAAAGCAGCCCAGAATCGTGACAGAAGATGAAGTCTTGTGAATGGGAATTAAGATCCGAGCAGGCCGACTGTGCTATCTACGCAGCCATCGAACAGCTACATGGACCCGTACATGGTGCCGTTCCCACCACAGGCAGGAGCAGATGAGGCATCAGACAAACTTGCATGAATTCCAAATGGCATTCGCTTGATCAGGTGCCTCCGGTGATGGCACCGAACCCTGCTTACCCGTATGCTATGCCTCCACCTCCGCCACCTCCGCCCCAGGCCAGTGGGGAGTACCTGCCGTCAAGTAGGCACCATAGTTGAGTGCTTGTTTTTTTGGAACTTGCCTGCGGTACGTTGTGACGGGCTTGGCCGTCACGCACCTCCCCTGCGTAAAGGCAGGCTACACGGTCGTGCACGTCGTCCCCGTTGAGCCGCCGAACAGCTCGACTATGCCTCCGCCGCCTACAAAGCATCAACTGCTCCTGGGTGTGCTCTAGCCCAACTCCATCAACGACCTGTGCAGACCTCCCTGCATTCAACAGCAATTTTGGCCTAGAGGGCAGATGGGGCACCAAGGGTTGAACCTGCCTCGACAGAGATCGTTTCCGCAAAGCCTCGTCAGATGTAGACTTGTCGTTGTGGTAGTGGGAGGGACCCCACGAAATTCGCACAAACTCAACAACGACCAGCCAAATCAGGGGATAACCGCATTCACGAACATCCAGCAGAACAGCCGCACCGCGTGACCTTTTGGGCTTGTTATGAGCTTGGTGCCGGAAAAGTTGTTGACGACCGGAAATCAAGAAAACCTTGGAATTAGAACCGCGACGCCGGGCCGCAGGTGAGGACGACATTCACACCAAGCGCATAAATCATGGAAACAGAAACATGTCCATGCCGTCGTCGTCATCATATTATGTTCATTGCCAGGTTCATGACCGTCATCATAACCGTCTTCCACACCATCGTCATAATCATCATCCTCATCATTGTCATTATCATCATCATCACCATCATCATCATCATCACCATCGTCGCCATCGTCGCCATCACCATCACTATCACTATCATTATCACCACCATCAACTTCGTCGCCGCCAGCATCGGTCCGGTGGTCGTGGTGGTCGTCCTGGTCGTCATTTTCACCACCATCGTCTTCGCATACGAATGCAGGACGAACAGCAAATCCATGGTCGCAGCGTAATGCAACCATAGCCAATGAAGAAATCGCAAGGTTCGCACAATGCGCTTTTGCCATTGGCGCGTTCCAGTTGTTCCATCGCGTGATGGTTTTGGTGATGCTGGCTGGTCACGACAGGACAGATGACCATCAGTTAAACCATAGATGAGATAAGGCATAGATAATTCGACCTGAAACTGCTGCCAAAGACTCCACAGCTCCGAACCCCCGATAGCTGCCTCAACTCAGGCTGTTGGATCCCTTCCTGCAGCCGCCGAGTGAGGGTGAGGTGGCTTTGCTGCCTTTAACCTTCAGGTCAAGGGGGCCCTTTGCTGAGTCCTGGTTAGATAGATCGTGGCTTGTCGTGGTCTGCATGACACTGCACGGATGGCTATCGTTTCTGCACCGCACGGCTATTCAAGATCTCCGCATGGCAGATTTGGCTTGCTGCGTGCTCCGGAGCTTGCTCACTTGACGTGGGGCTTAACTGTTGTGCACATATTTAACATGTGCTTGGTCTTGTGTGATTTGCAAGTTTGCTGCGTTTCACAGCGCCGCTGTGTGGAGCATGGCTGGTTCTGTCAAGCAGGCATGGGCACCCAACTCGGACGAGCCCTCCCGAAAGCCGGACGAGACGTCCAGCTCAGGCGCATCATGAGAGTGACCTCACATGCCTTTGTTCCGGAGCGGTTTCTCCGTTCAGCCCAGCCAGTGATCAAGAGGGCATCCTTGTGGAGATTCAAGAAGGCGGGAGCCTGCCTGTCAGGACATCATCGGCCAGAGTGGCTTGGATGCAGATCTGCTCAGCCCCTAGAAATCATGACCTGATTGCAGCAGCTCTGGCCGACAATCAAAAATCCTGCAGCGATCAAGCAGCAGCTGGCATCCTAAATAGTAATCAGGCTGCAGATGCAGCCTAAGCCAGGCCCAGAGCTCTCAACTGCTACCCCGAAGTGATCGGGCCTTGTGAGGCAGTCTTCTCATCGTGCGGGCTCTTCCCGCAAGGTGGCCTTCGCAACAGAGTCGATAATGTAAGGTTTGGGAAGTCAGGGGATGTTCGGTGTGGTCCACTGGCTTTCGAGATACATTTCACACCCAAGTCCCGCAGCCAACAAGATAAACGTCGACGGCATTCGTGAGAAAGCCAACTGCCTCACTCCGAATCACGTCCCATACAGGTTGAGTGTTTGAGGTGCATGGTGCCGGTTTTGTTTCCCTGGTCACAGGGTAGCATCAAGCATGCACCCGAAACCCCAGACCTCACTTGCCCGACCCATGGCGCCCTGTTCACGTGTGGGTCCTTCAGGAGTTAGTACTCCTTGTCAGTGGAAGAGCCGAGAGACCATCTCGAAGAAGCAAGCTTAAGGAAACCCGCTCCGTAGTATACTATAGTACTACAGTAAACAGTTAGTCTACTTATCGGTACAGGACAAGTAGGTATAGTACAGTGTAAAGTTGCTCTCCTGTTCTACAAAGTCTCGTCTGTATATCACACGAGAAAAACGAGAAAAGAGGAAGCCACGAACCCTAAACCCTAAACTCTGGTTGAGGCTTGCTTTGAGCCTCGAGTCCTCATCCCGGCTCTACCTACTAGGTATTCCGACTGTAGCAAGGAGGAAAAGGGCCTTCAAAAGAAAAACAACTCTAAACCCAAAGCGCGATCGTGCGCTGCGGAGGTCTTGGCTCCTGGACTGGTGGGCGTCGAAGCTCCGAAAGAGCGCAGTGGGACTTGAGGGCTACTATAAGCGGGCTGAAATCATTACTAACTATTTTGGAGGGTTCCTTGTTATTGTTCCCCACATCACTGTGTGGGGTTCTTATACTTTTTGGGGCTGTCCCGCCTCCTCCTCCTCCTCCTCTTCCTCCTCCTCCTCCTCCTCCTCCTCCTCCGCCTTCTCCTCCTCCTCCGCCTCCTCCGCCTCCTCCGCCTCCTCATCCCAGACACAGACACAGACACATGTACACACACACATGTACAGACACAGACACACACAGACCCCGGCCTGCTCTGGGCAAGGCCGCGCGCGCGCTGGGGGCGAGACTCTTCCGCGACTAAAGACCCTCGCGAGCCTGGTCTGGGCAAGGCCGCGCGCGCGCGCGCTGGGGGCGAGACTCTTCCGCGACTAAAGACCCTCCCGGCCTGCTCTGGCCAGGGCCGCCCGCGCCCTGGGGGCGAGACTCTTCCGCGACTAAAGACCCTCCCGAGCCTGCTCTGGGCAAGGCCGCGCGCGCCCTGGGGGCGAGACTCTTCTGCGACTAAAGACCCTCCCCAACC